ATACTCTAAAATGAATCTTTAGTGAACACAAGACCAATTTTTGTCTTTTAATGATTTTTCTAAAATTCACTTAAAAGATATTTTTAGCTATTTGACCTACCTAGCCCAAAGGTCGATGGTTTGTTCTCTCATGTGTTTTGAGTTTAGCATCAACTGATTGGGTGAGACTTGTGTGTTTTTAATTATATAAATATTGGTTTCCTAAGTTTGTTGATGCTCAAGCCTGGATTGATGCTGAATATAGAATTAGGTTGGTTCGTCACTCAAGAGAAGTTAGTTTGTAACGCTTCTTTCTTTGTTTGTTTTTCTTCCACAAGGTAACATGAATCTGAATTGAACTTGATAATGTGATAATCGCACCCAACCTGCATCGGCCTGATATGAACTCGAATATGAGATTAACCTAATAAATAATTGATATAACCCAACTTGAAACAATTTGATTTCACCCTTCTAATTTACTTCATTTTCAAACATTCTAATTAAAATAATCTCATATACACGTCATAATTTTTGTATTTCATCACTTAACTTTTAAGGTAGTAATTGTTAGGGTAAACTACACGGGTGACCACTCAATTATAGTAAAAAATCATTTTGACTACCAATGTTTCAATTTGATTATTCAGACCACGCAACTATTTAAATGTTTCAATCAAGCCACCTGCAGTTAACATTTAACGGTGTAGGTGATGTGGCAGTTACAATATCTTCGTATAATTACACAATTGGTCACTGTTACTTATATATTCTTTAAATTTAGTCATAATTATAATAAATTAAAATAAATTTAATCCTCAAATCAAGAGGTGTCATGTGTCATTGGGGGACTAAATTTATTTTAATTTAATAGATTTAAATTTCCACCAATTAGAAGGTAACATATGTCACCCTATGTTCGAAAGAAAACACATAGCGCAATAAGAAGGGGCAAGGGGAATCAAACATGGGAACTTCTCAAAATTAATAATATTTTATATATCTTAAATTTTAAAATTATCTTTTATTTTTGTTTTAACTTATTAAATATTTTTTATTTTTTATTTTTAATATAAAAATATATTTTATCATTATCACCACTTAAAAAATGCATTTTTAAAAATATCTTAACTTAAAATATATTTAAATATTTTATTATTAATTTGATATAAATATAAATATATATTAATATTATCTTCACTTAAAAATATATTTTATTCTTATTTCAAATTAAAAATATATTTATTATTATCTTAATTTTTAAAAGTTTATTAAAATATCTTAACTTCAAAATATATTTTAATATATTTTTAAAAGTTAAGTTAATAATAAAATATATTTTTAATTTGAAAAAAATAATATATATTTTTATGTGAATATAATAGTAATATATATATATATAAATTAATAATAAAATATTTAAATATATTTTAAATTACAATATTTTTAAAAATATATTTTTAAGTGACGATAAAGATAAAATATATATTTTTACATTAAAATAAAAATAAAATATATTTAATAAGTTAAAACAAAAATAAAAGATAATTTTAAAATTTAAGATATATAAAATATTATTAATTTTGAGCAAATCATTTACATACTAAGACAATATATATCATTTGTTTTCAAAAGCATACCAAATGGTTGTCTTGGCTCAATGATTTGGCTTCTTTTATTCCATCAAAACGTCTCGGGTTTGATTCCTCTCGCCACTCTTATTGCGTGGAAAACAAATATACTCAAATTAGTCCTCCAATCGAATAACGACAGGTGTTACCAATGACACATAGCACCTCTTGATTCAATGATTAAATTTAATATAATTTATTACAATTAGGATCAAATTAAAAGAATATATAAGTAATAAGGACTAATTGTATAATTACACCAAAATATTTTAACTCCGACATCGCCTTCTCTATTAAATGTTAACGGCAGATGACTTGATTAAAGCATTTAAATAGTTGAGTGGTCTGATTAATCAAATTGAAACACTGGTGGTCAAAATAATTTTTTATCATAGTTGAGTGGTCACCCGTGTAGTGTACCCTAATTATTAATATTTTTTTTAATTATTGACAACATACATATATCTTACAGATATAGCCATTTGGAGCTTAAACTTTCTAAAAGAATAATACTCTCTTTTATCATTGATACCATTTAATAGATTATTCATTCTTCATTATGATATTTTACTTTTAAAATTAACATAATACTTTTTTATATATATCATTGTTCTTCTGCCATCCATCATTATTTGTGACATAATTTATAATCAATTATGGGATAAATTATCTCTCTATGTACATATAATCAGCATGTGGAGCAGTCACTAGCTGGTGTATTTAATATCAAACCCATCAAAATTGAGAACTCTTCCACGTCTAATTTAATAATTGATAACCAATCTTTTACTACTAAACATATAAAGTGTTGTTTATATTTTTTTGAAGTGATACTCCAATATCCCATTTTTGCTTTCAGCGGCGACTTCTAAATTTGATACACAAATAACACATACTTCTAAACTTCTAACACAAGAGGAAAGTAAAAAGGGAGTGCTTGAAAACCAAATTTAAACCACATAGGTAAAGAAACACACCATCACCCTTATTTATGGAATCGCCGCCGTTTCTAGTAGCTAATATCACTCGCTGTCGCCGTTCTTTCCCACAACAGTCGCCGCTGTGTCAGGGCTCATCAAAGCTACAATCTCCTTCTCAATTGCTTTCTGAGCATCAAAATCCTTGTTATCATCTGCTTCAAGAAATTCAGCCACCAATTTGTCCACGGCGTTTTTCACGGCAAGCTTCTGATCCCTCTCACTCGTAAGCATCAAACGCTCTTTTTCCTTGTCTTCCATTGCAAGTCGATCAGCCCTTAGCTGCTCTTCCATTTCCCTTGTTCTCTCTCTCTTCCTTTCCAGTTCAGCTTGGGAGAGAAAGATGAAAAAAATGTGAAAAATATGAAATAAATAGAGAAATAGAGAAATAGAAACCTGAGTGATCATTTGAGAAAGAAGAAACAAAGAAGTGATCATCGGGGAATGGAGAATGTTGGAATTCATGAAACAAAGGGGGAAGAGGTGTGATTGAACAGAAGCCCCTGCAAAGCTCTTTAAAAAGAGCTTGGATTTGTTTTGTGGCTGTCAAAGTCAGAGCTGGGCTCATCTTCATTAAATATTTGTTTACGGTTCAGTGGAGACGACCGTGCGTTTATCCGACGTGGAGCTGTTTTAGAGACAAGAAGATCTCCTGTATTCCCCATCAGCATCTGGATACGTTTCAGTTTTGCTTTTCTTTTTTTACCTTTTACTTTATTGTAGGCATTATTTTAATACTCATGGTAGCTGACCAAACTAGGTTCCGAGGTTTTGGATTTATTAATCTGGACCGATAAATGTTGTGAGAAGATGTTGGACACATAAATGTAGGCATTGAAGGAGTGGAATGGAATCCTACCTTTAGATTCTATAGGAATCGGCATCAGTGACCAACAACTTCCTAATTTTTTTTTCTAACTTTTGATTTGGAAAAGCAAGACAGAAAGCAATGAATAAATTCAAAAGGACCACTGTGGTCGATATCATTCTACATTAATTGCTTTGTTGATAAACCAGCTTCACCTTATTACACCCAGCATCTTTGTTCTTACTTACCCTTTCTTTTAACCTTTCAATATACCTTTAATAAGGATATACCAAACCATATAAGATGCTAACTATATCCAATAATTTGAATATAATATTAAACTAATATATCTAATTAAAATAATACAAATTCATTGTTTAATTCATGATCATCTCTCAAATCAATTTTACAACATACTCAATTTTACAACATGCTGTTTGTTTGTTCATATAGCCTTGAATCTTAAAGCTGCAATATTTCCAGCTAATGTTGGAGAGACAAGTCAAACAAAGCACAATTAACTACACACCAGTTTGTTGGTTCTGTCGATCGAATGACACACTGAGCTCCAACCATGATAAACAAAAGTTGCACCAGTTTTAGTCTAATAGCCAAATAGAAGCCTTCTATTTAAACCGTATGTGAACCAGTCTAATCCTTGTCAGCGTCTTCTATGTCTTCATCTTCAGGTACCCGGTGAAGATCCAGAACATTATTGCATCTGTACAACAAAGGTACCATGTTATTATTTCATTAAAGAAGGTCGAATGCATCGTTTTTTTTAAATTGCAAAACATATAAACCAATTTTCCTTATCAATGTTGTAGAACTTGTGTTTAAAAGGAGCATGCTACAACATGCAATTTTCAGACGCATCAGCAAAGATAATATATGGTAACAACTTATTAACTTCTTTGTCGCATGAAATCGCATGAAGTAGATGCTCCATCACGCGCCCCGCTCCGCCATGCAGTGGTGGATGTAGGTGTGTTTCATGATGGCACTCAAATCCGAATTTCTTTTGATTAACAATTCATTTTAGTGTGTCCAATCTGAAATTTTATTTGTGCTTACCTTTTAAAAAAATTTATATTATTGATTATTATATGTACCCACCCTACAAAAATATTTTTGAATCTGCTATGTCTAATATTGAAAATCACTATGGGCCATGAATTCACAGTGGCCGGAAACTGCAGGAGAGGGATCGGTGCCAACGAGGAGTGATGAGTGGCGGGGCAAGGTACTTAGATTTGGGGAAAGGAAATGAGCGCAATGAAGACTGAAATATCATTCATGATGCCGGTAATAACGATAAATGCAACACGACGAGATACAAATGCTAATTGTTATTTTGAATCCCTTATTAAAAGCCAAATTTTTTGGTTAGTCTGAGGACCACAAAAATCTTGGGCCTGTCCACCACCACCTCCACAGAAGTCCAGACATTTCAACTCTCATGGTGGTCCGGGGCGGCGCCGCGGTCCTGTAAACGTACGAGCTCGGTTCAAACCGAGGATGTTCCTAATCCGAGGGTCATTTTCAACGTCAAAAAGACAATCAAGAACCCACAGATCATCAAGATATTGTCTTGAAACTGTAGCTCCATCTCTTGTCTGATCCTCCGGATTTGCTCCTCCATCTCAGCAGCTGCAACTCGTGACGCTATCAGCGACTGCATGACACGCCGATTAACCTTTCGCTCCCTTGCCAATCTAGCCCTCATAGCTCTCAGGCCACGACCCTGTTTCCACAGGCAAGCTTTCAAGACTCAAAACCACAGGTCTAATTTTACAAGAACATCTAATATGTAAGTAAAAAGAGTTGAACTGAACTTTCTTGAAGTAAAAAGAGTTGAATTTTACGGCTTACGAAACCCATTGAAACTAAAGTGAGAGAGAAAGATAATTGACCTTGATGTACAGGCGACGCAGCCAAAAATGGTGAAACCAAAATCCTGTCATTGGAAATATGAGAATGGCAAGCGCTGGAATTGGAGCTTCAAACCTCAGCCTTTTGCTCTGATTTTCCTGAATGGAAAGAGGGGCCGTCCGTGTTCAAGGCTTAAATAAATGCCTCCCGTACAATTGCGCAATAGTTTAAAATGGAAAAATATAACCTTTTTTTTTTGCCCTTCCGTTTTTTAGAGCCGGCCGAACGATAATTTAGGATGTATTTGGTTTATAGAATGTAACATTATCTTTGGGAGTAAAATTATCGGAATATTATATTACCTTATATATTATTGGGAATATTACATTATTGTGTTTAATAGTAATGTATGATTACAGTATTTGGTTAAATAAATAAAAGATTACTGAAATGCATATTTTACTAAATTATCCTTATGATATTTTTTTAACAAGTTAATTCCAAATATTCAAATGAAAATATTTATATAAAAATTCATAGAAAATATATTATTGTATTATTTTTAATTTATATAGTTTTTTATTAAATTTTAAATTCATAAAATTTATTTTTTTTTACAAAATTTAACGTAAATGTGTAGATTAAAAGAATAAATATATCATATATTATTTTAATCTTAATTAATATTTAAAAATTTATGATTATATATTATAGCTTTTGAAATAAAAGTATAGATATTTTTGAAATAAATCTTTTAGGACAAGAACATTTTAATCCAAGTTGAAGGGAAAACAAAAAATACTTAAGCCCACCATGGATTAGGATTCCCGGTAATATTTGAAAAGAAGTTACTGTTGGTAATATTTTATAACCCCCTAATAGGAATATTATCCATCTAAACATGGGAATCACAAGTAGGAAAAAGATATTCCCACCAGTAATATTAAAATCCTCCATCCAAACGCCCCCTAGATGTTCAAGAGAAAGAGAATCTCATGGAATGATTAAATAAAGATAATATAATATAAGGGTAACGAAAGGTGTTACTTAAAAGGTTATTTTTTGTATTGAAAATATTAATATTGGATGTTACTTAAAATGATTTTTATCGGAAATATTAATATTATAAATATTCATTTTAGGTAGAGAAATTAACATTTCTGGTAAAAAAACATTTTAGATAGCACTCTACAAGAAATGTTAAAAAAATATTAACATTTTCGATAACGTATTTGTTTAACCTTATATTAGATTGTGGTTCAGTAGAATTACCCAAAATCTTGAGTTAGTTATGAGAAGACAAAATCTTACATCACATACCATTACACAAATTCTACAATACATGTTTAAAAATAAAAATTCGTCTAAAAAAGTGTTATTTTTTTATTATATAACAGTGGCGGATCTAGAAATTTAAAAATGGGGTCCAAAATTTTAATTTTCTTTTCTTAAAAATAATGGGTATGCAAAAATTATAATTTCCCCCCTTTTTTCCTTAACACATTAAGCTAAATTTAACCACTTTTTAAAATAATGGGATGCACTTGCCCCTATGCGGACTTAGTGCATCCTCCAATATTATATAGGTGTAAAGAAAATTATTTTTTCAACAGAGTATTTGTGAAAATCGCCCGAATCACACAACTTTTGAAAAACGTTTGGATTACTCGACGATTTTTGAGTGCCACCAGATATCCCTATTATCGTGTATGCATGAAGCATGAAGAAAACACCATACAATCTAGACGACTTTCAAAAGTCTATGCGTATACCAAACGACTTCCAAAACATTATACAAGAAACATCCTACTTGGAAAAAAAACTATATATAACCAATTTTTTCTCAACACATTATCTAAAATTTTATCAAATAAAAATGTTAATTAAGCTTGTAATGTTTCTTAAAGGATATTATTTTAATTTCGGTTCATGTTAAATTTTGAATTCAATTTTAAATAAATTCTTCTTTTTTTCTCTTTTAAAAAATAAACTTTTTTGTTGTCTTCTGGTTTTCAGAGCTTTACCTTCTCTAATCCAGATCGACCCATTTCATACACTTAACTTTGGTTGGTGAGTCTCTCAGTGAGAATTTGTGCATAAACAATCATGTCGTCAACATAAACTTCAATCTCCTTATGCATCATGTCATTAAATAAGGTCACCATGGCTCTTTGGTATGTTGACCTAGTATTCTTTAATCCGAAGGGCATCAATTTGTAGCAGAATGTTCCCCACATTGTTACAAATGTGGTTTTTTCATGTCATCATGATGTATTTTAATCTGGTTATATCCTGAGAATCTGTCCATGAATGAGTAGAAAACATTTCCTGCTGTATTATCCACCAAAGTGTTTATGTGGAGCAAGAGAAGTTATCTTTAGGACTTGCTTTGTTAAGGTCTCAGTAGTCGACACACATGCACACTTTTCCATCATTCTTTAGAACTGACACAATGTTAGCCACCCACTCTGGATACTTGGCCACCTGAAGAAAGCCAACATCGAACTGCTTCTTGACTTCTTCTTTTATTTTAAGGAGCATTTTAGGTCTCATTCTCCTTAGCTTTTGTTGTACAGATTTGTATTCTGGCTTGATAGGTAGTTAGTGGACTACCATATCCGTATATAGCCCAGACATGTCTTGATATGACCATGCAAACACATCTTTGTATTCTTGAAGTAAATTTATCAAGTTTTGTCTTGTTTCAGTCGAAAGAGTTGTGCCAATTTAACCTTCTTCTATTCCTCTTTTGTGCCCAAATTTAAAACTTCAATTTCATCTTCATGTGGCAATATTTGTTCATACTCTTTTTCTATCATCCTTAATAATTCAGAAGGTAAGTTGAACTCTTCTTCATTGTCACATTCATTAATTTCCCCAAGACAATTGAGTTGTTCAAAATCCACATCCGGGTCAGGATCATCAATGCCTGCATCATTAATATATTGGGACCTGAAAGGGAAAGGAGGAAAGAAATGTATAAATGCAAGAGGTAAATATCCCACACATAATGAAAGAAAATTAAATTCAAAAGGAAATGAAATAAAGTATGAAGAAACGTTTGCCGGGAAAGAATCTACATCTTATATTGAATGATAATAAAAACCATTTATTCACCCTTACAAAATATCACCTATTGCCCAATGTATAGGTGAATAGGGAGAGTTTGAGTATTACTCTGAAAGAAATTTGAAAACCACAGGTAGATCTTCAGCCGTCAAGTTGCTAGGCACTGACCCAGGTGGCAATAGGCAGATTCTAGATCTATATGCATTTTCAGCATTTTCTGTAATTATGGCATTGATACTCAAATCTTTCAAAGCAACCTCCAAATTTGGTATGGTGATCTCAAACACATAGCCATCAGATCTAAACGTGTTATGAAGAGGTGGGAAAACCATTGACTCCCACTGAAATTCATTCCCGACCAATCTTGCCGACTTTCTTTCTCGGCACTACTGAATTTCATTCCTCTTCTATTGGTCATTGGGCTGAAAACCCAGCCCGAATTGGTCTAACTTCTTTATATGAAAAATGGGGTCAATCCTCCATTACAAAAGACTTCTAAATCATTTTCCTACCTTGGCATCTTTTCCAAAGTCTGCTTGATTTCCATTTTGGTGCATTCAGAGAGTATAGGTTTGGAAATTTTTCCTCCTTCAGCCACAAATATGGCATTCACGAACTCTAGAAAGTGAAATGAACACTCTACAACTTCCTCATTCACTTCTATGTAAGGGGCATCAGTGGTCACATTTGCCACTATATCTTCTTCAGCATTAATAATTACAAGAGCCCCGTCAATGACAAACTTAACTTTCTGATGAAGCGTGGATGATACTGCTCCAGCTTGATGAATCCAAGGCCTTTGTAAAAGGCAATTGTACGAAGGTATAATGTCCATCACCAAGAACTCTATGTTATAAGTGGCGAGTCTAATGGTTAAGGGTACCTCAATCTTTCCTATTACCTCACTCTTTGTCTCGTCAAATGCTCGTACCATATTCTGGAATGTCCGCATTTGAAAGGTATCAATTGGTAACCTTTTTAGAGTGACTAGTGGTATCACATTCAGAGTAGACTCGTTGTCAATTAACATACTTGGCAAGGCATGCCCCTTGCAATGAGTTGTAATGTGTAATGCCTTAGCCCGACCTCTTCCTCCAGATGGGATCTCATCATCAAAAAATAAGATAAGATTGTCAGATTAAATGTTGTTGATCAGTCTATCCAGCTTGTTAATTGGTATATCTGTGGTATGAAGGTCTGATTCGAGACCTTCAACAGTGCATTCCTATATGCCTATGAATTCAGTAGTAGTGTCATCATCGAAATATATGTTGGCAAATTGTGTAGTTATTCCACAACATTGTACTCGCTATGTTTCAGGAATTTCACTGCTTACTCGTCTTTAATAGGCTTTTTTATCACTGGCTTGTCTCCCTTAAATGGCTCCAGTGATCTCTGGGACGAATGAATTTCCTGGGAATACCACTTTCCTCTTCCAACGGCGTGTGCCACTTCCTGAGCACCTTCTTTCACATTGCTTACTTGGCAATCATATTTCCATGGAACTTTTCGATCATCTTTATAGGGAAAATGTCTGGGTGCTGTGATCAAATCGAAAAAAATGAAATTACAAATAAAATTTAAATAAATTAAACAACACAAAGGGATCAAATTGAAATAGTTGTAAAATATGAAGAAAATCTGTAAAATTGACTAAATTAAATTCATTTGAGAAAAAATTGAAACAATTATATATATATATATATATATATATATATATATGAACTATATATATTATGTATAAACTATAACATCCCGAAATTCAAGGTCAATGACTAAATTGTAAATTTTGAAAATTATGTGTTTGATTTTGAAATAAGTTAAAAGTTCATGGATTTAATAGTAAACTGGAAAGTAACAAGGGTATTAGGGTCTTTTCTAAGAGAAGATTTTTATTCTCTCTTTTTAAGGAATATAAAAACGTGGGAAATGAGGAAATCTATCCAAAGTCTTCTTCTCCAGCTTCTTCTCCCCGTAAGCCTCAGTTAAATGTGAATTTAATTTCAGCTGTTTAATTCTTGGATTTATAAGTTGATTTTTATTCTTTGAGTATTATATAAGCTTAAGGAAAGCTTATATAAGCTTTAAACATCAAGAATAGAGAATTAAAAAGGAAATTATATGAAGGGTGTAGAAATGAACTTTTGTTATAGAAAGGTTTTTGAAGTTATAAAGATGATTTGACTTGTCAATGGTCTAATTAAAAGTTAAAAGCAATAGAATTGAATTTGGAACATGTTGAAAATTTAGTGTAATTCTTGAATTACATATGGAGAATAGGATTTTGATGTTAAAGAGGTGATTAATGAATAAAAATGAGTTTGAATATGAGTATGTAAGTTAAGAATAATAAAGGGGATGATATATGCAGTTATTAAGCTGAAAAAGTGGATTTTCAGGCATAAAAATGAATTCTGGGCTATGTGCATCGATGCACATTCAATGTGTCCCGATGCATCAAGGGTAAATTTCCAGGAATTGTTCAGTGTGTATCGATGCACAGGAAGTGCATCGATGCACCCCTTAAAAATGGAAACATCGAATGCAATTAATGCATCGATGCATAAGGAGTGCATCGATGCACATGTTTAGGAGTGCATCAATGCACATGTTTAGGGATGCATCGATACACTGTAGAATGCATCGATGTACTTCAAGGGGAAATTGAAATAGACAATTATTTTGGTCTAAGAAATGATAGATTATGGTATATCAATTAGATATGATATGTATCAATGTATGATTGTGTAGATAGCGAACATGAACAAGTTTCGGAACGATTATCAAGTTAAGATTCAATCGAAAGAGAGGAAATTATAAAAGTGGATTGGAACTTAGTGAGGCCAAGGTGAGTGCATATTATTAGATTGTGCATATTATTATATGGAAATTAGACTTGTGATAAGTCTGTTTCCAATACTTTACGTTTGCATGAATAGAAGTATGATTAAGTTTGTATTATGTGTATATGCTTTGTTCATATTATATGTCATGAGGTGTGAATTTATATGATATGGGTTATAGGGAATGAAATATGTAACTATATGTGAACCTTATGAGATGTATGAATATGTGAAATAAGTTATAAGGTCACAAATCATGTATAATAGTAAATGTTGTATGGGATAACCATAGAAAGAAATAAGTTAAGTGATCATGAACATGTAAATATATGTTTAGATGAAGATATAATAGCAAAATATAAATTACATGAGTTAAGTTATGGAAACTATTATAATTTAATTAAGTGTTAAATGAAAAGTGAGATAAACTAACTAGCATTGATTTATAGGAAAATATGAAAATAGAATAGCAATTAGGAGATCTGTACATAAATAATGATAATCATATGAGAGATAAGCGGTATGAGAAAGATTAAGGTGCTAGATAATCTATGACATAGAAATTACATGGTAAAGATCTATGAAGTCATAGGAAAAGGTTATAAGAGTAATGTAACTTGAATTAAGAGAATATAAGAAATTTATATATAAATGAATTTATATAAGTGGTATATGTTAGTATGCTACAATATATGTTATAATGCTACAATATATGTTATAGGATCTATGTAAGCATAAGAGAACGAAATATGAGCTAGGTGTTATGAATATAAATGATGATATGATTATGTACAATAAGTTAGGGAATTATGATCTAGGTGTTTATATGTTATAAAAAGATATAAGAACAATATATAAACTACGAAATATGAACTGTGGGATTTCAGTGCTATGTAACATTATCTATGTGATTAAGCACAAATGTGATATTCATATATGACAATGATTTGTGAAAATGTATGAAAATGAGATATGATCTACAAGATAATAAATCATGTGAATTATATGGAAGTGATTTATGTGAACATGTCTGATATGTCTTACATGATATGTGTGATTTCACAAGAAATGACATGAGCTATGTGATTATATGATTATGAGAGATCAGACATGAGATAAGAGACAAATGTTATAAATGTATGAATATGAAATGAAATAAATAATAATGCCCATGTTATGTGTCATGAGAGCTAGGGGTATAGTTGGCATGCCAAGAGTCGAGGGTCTACGCGGTCCTTCGGGACATATATGTATTCCTTGGAACATGTGTGATGTCTTTTGAGACACATACTTGATCCTTTGTATATGTATGATTCTTAAGGAATTTTCTACGTTGTCCTTAAAGACATTTTATATGGCACTTCGGTGCAATTCTACATGAAACTTCGGTGCAATTCTACGTGCACTTTCGGTGCATTTATATGAGATGTGGTGACAGCATTTGTAGACTCACATATCAAAAATTCTCACATGTGTACATGGGCTAATAAAGAAATAACAACAAACATCTTACATGTGACTTGTATGCTTTTGTGCATGAATTGTATTATATGATTTATATGATGATATGTAGATTGTATGAGTAAGTGAGTTAAATGTTGATTAAAATGCTAGGTATAAGAGGATATGTATTAAGTGATATAAACAATAATAATATTGATAATGAAATAAGGCTAATGATGGAAATGATGATTGATGATTGTAAGAGTAAGTGATTTATTGCATGAATCAGGGTATAATTGATAGCAGTAATTGTTCATGCATGATTACAAACTATAGTTTACATTATATGTTTATTTCCTCACTAAGTCATAGACTTAGCGTGTGATTGTTTCACACGTAGGTTACAGAAACGAGAAGAGAAGCGAAGAAGAGCAAATAGGTCAACATCTCCCTTACAAAATTTCAGAACAGGAAATAGATGATTCAAATGTGTTTGATTAATTTGAATATAGTTGGCATGTACTAATTGATTAAGTAGAATATGTTCTGATCAATTTTCGTTATTTTGGTCAATTTATGTAAATAAACTACTTTTATTTTAATGAAAGTTTTAAATTTCCTTTGAATTTTGTCAAGAGTCAAAGTTTGAAAAGTCAATGTGACACCTCAGACTCGTATTCGGGTTAGGTACAGGTTGTTAGTGTTACATTTAATGGTATCAGAGCCACGGTTTAGTCGATTCTCGACATCAATCGGAGTCTAGAGTATTGTATGAAGTATACATGCCAACTAAATTGTGAAAATTTCTGATCTGATAGTGTAAGGAATATGTTGCCTTGCTGATAGAATAAGTTTAATAAAATGCAATAGAAATGTGATTATAAAAAATATCAAAGTGAATAGATAGGTACAAACCTGATGGTAGTAGCAATTCACCTGCCCTGGCCAGGCATGATGAAAAGCGGACACCTCAGGAAGTGCCTCGTAAGATCAAAGGTTGATTTCAGAAAATTGAAATCATATCTGAATAGTGATAAAAGGTTTTCACTATTTCGAATTGAAAAGTGATATGGAAAAGTTTTGTAACACCCCAAACCCGTACCCGACCCGGATACGAGTCTGAGGTGTCACATTGACTTTTCAAACTTTAACTCTTGACAAAATTCAAAGAAAATTTAAAACTTTCATTAAAGTAAAAGAATTTTAGTTACATAATTTGACCACAATAACCATAATCGATCAGAGCATATTTAACTCAATCAATTAGTATATGCCAACTATATTTAAAATAACAAAAATCATTTAACTCATTTTATTTTCTGATCTAAAATCTTGTAAGGGAGATGCTGACCTGTATTGCTCCTCACAGCTTCTATATTCACTTTCGATAACCTGCGGGTGAAACACTCACACGCTAAGTCGATGAATTAGTGAGGCATAAAGAAAACACATCTAATGGAATTCATACCCACTAATCATGCATGACTGTTTTATGCTATCAAATTATACAACTCATTTACATATACATCAATATATTCATGTATATTATGTAACAGATACCAAAACCCCTATCACACATATATGATATCATGCAATTCATATCACACATCATATACATATATCACATACATTGTTCTCATATCACCAACCTGTTTATCCTTACTAATTCCCTCGTCATTACTTCAATTTCGTCATATGAGCATATAATGAATATAAACATATTATATATATTTTAATATTCCACAATACATTACTAATTTCTATAATCATATAATACATAAACGCATAGCATCTCATATCACCATGACATATATGCACTTCTACCATGTCACGAGAAATACACATATCATTATATCAAATTATGTTCTCTTTTCAAAGCCCATGTACACATGTGAGAACTATAGATATGTGAGTCTATAGAGGTTGTGCATTATGCTGTCACCACAGCTCGTATAATTGCACCGAAGTGCCACGTAGAATTGCACCGGAGTGCTGCGTAGAATTGCACCGTAGTGCCATATAATAATGTCCATAAGGACCACATATCATTCCTTAAGAATCATATACATATACTAGGGATCAAGTATGTGTCTCACCAGACTTCACACATGTTCCAAAGAATACATATATGTCCCGAAGGACCACATATCATTCCTTAAGAATCATATACATATGCCAAGGATCAAGTATGTGTCTCACCAGACTTCACATATGTTCCAAAGAATACATATATGTCCGAAGGACCACATAGACCCTCGACTCTTGGCATGCCAACTATACCCCTAGCTCTCATGACACATAACATGGGCATTAATATTTATGTTAACATACATTCACATGTACACATAGTCATGTAGTTCTTTCACATAGCTCATCGTCATATAAATCACATATCCCATATACATATAAACACATGGTTCACTTACGTTAGAACATTTTCATATAATCGCATAGTCATATAATATTTCATATATCTCATATCATGTTTCATATCTGTGATCATATAATCATGTTACTTATAACCACATAACTTCTACTCATAGGGTTCAACATCATTAAACTTAGTTCACTTTTTCATATTATCATACATTTATATACTCTTATATGTCCTATCAATAACCTATAAACTTACTCATATTCTCATATATACTATTTTAATATAATTTGTATAGTAATATTCTATAATTGTATCATATAATTATTTTACCCAAGTACTCCTTTATAAAGTTTATATTACAGGTTCAATTAATATCATTCTATCCTATAAATAATTTCCACTTATTTTATATCATTTTCCATTTTCACTCACATAAACCATCTATTTATTTAGTTCAATTTCTCATGACTTCCACAATAATCTTTAATAAAACTTTGTAGCTTTTCACTTTAATACATAAACCATAGTTTCCTTTAATTTATCAATCTTCTCTATATAACTTATGTATCCTTATTTATGCCCTCAAATTCATACTATTCTCTTAGAGTCTCCTAACATTTCTCGTATAATAACTTATACCATATCATATGACTTATACTTGATTATCTTATTCTCTCATGTTCATTTCATTTCTTATGACTCTATCATATAACTTATTCCATGTTCTTCCATTATTACATAATAAAGTCTTACATAAATCATATAGCATATACAAAGCATATCATTATCTTTAGTCATGCATACATACAATCAATGTAATACATATAATCACATATAGTTATAACCAACACATAATCATGTCTATGACTTCATGCATATTACTCTAGGAAATAGACTCATCGCAAGTCTTATTTCCATTAAACACTACATGTCACTAGTATGCACTCACCTTGGCCTCACTAGTCAATTCCAATCTCTTATCTTTCCCTTGATCGATCTTACTTGCCAAATGTTCTGGAATTGCTTTACGCGCAGAATCTACATAAATGTATATTTTGAGGCAATCATTAGATACCTACTCCTTGTAATTGGATACTAGCAACTTAAACGAACTTATTAAACCCATATTCATAATTTTCCTTTAGGGGGAATCGATTCCCTCATGTCATTCTGGAAATTTTTGTTCGTTTGAAGGGGTATCAGTTCCTCTTGAATGGGTACCGATTCCCCTTGCCCAGAAATCATATTTTTAGCTCGAAAATCACTTCATTTTCAGCTCAACACTTCATACTTCACTCCCTTTAATATTCCTAACTTTCATACACATACTTAAACTCATTTCTACTCCATAATCACTTCTTTAAACTCAAAATTCTATCATTTACATGGCATTCAAAAATTACACTAAATTTCCAACATGTTCTAAAGCCCATTCTATCACTTCATATCTCTTAATTTAACCCTTCACAAGTCAAATTAAACTTCAAAATCTATTAACTCCTTCTATTTCAAAAATTCACTTAAAAACTCATTTTCTTAATTTCTCATAACTTGCTAATCTTTGAGTTTTAAGCCACCTAAAGCTTTCCTTAATCTTTCTTAACATCCCAAGAATCAAAACATGCTTTAAAATGAAAGAATTAACCAACTGAAGACCCACTTACCTTATACAAGGCTTCACGGTGGAGAGGAGGAAGAAGAAGACTAAAGAATAGTCTGGAGAAATTATCTCATTTCCCACGTTTTTATATCCCTTTAAAAAAAGAATAAAAATCTTCTCTTAGAAAAGACCATAATACCCTTGTTATTTCCAAACTTTACCATTAAATCCAACATCAACATTCTTCAATTAAATCCATGAACTTTTAACTTATTTCAAATCGAGCACATAATTTTTAAAATTTACAATTTAGTCACTAACCCTAATTTGAGATATTACAAGTTTTGTTATAAAGTGAATAAGATAGAATATGGTGAACAAGTGTCACCATAAGGATGTTAAGAGATCAAATGATTGGGTTAGAATTGCAAAAGATTTCAAGGATAAGTGCATCAGTTACAAGTGAATGAGGTATATGAAGTCAGAGTTTATGAGTTTGATGCAGAGGGAAATCCTAATGTGTATAGACAGGAGTACAGTTTGATGAGTAGAGTGAAAGGTAGTGAAGCTAATTTAAATGAAAATGATGTATGCAAGTGATGTGTAGAATGATGGTGCCTAGATTAAAATAGTGTTATAGGTGTTGAAATGGTTCCCTTTTCAAAATGTGGTTATTGTGTTAAGGTTCTGGAGAGAACTCAGAATGATTAAGGGAACTTATATTTCATCAATCAGTACTATCGAAGAGAGATAGAGTATGATTTTTAACTACAAACTTGGTAGGAATCGGTTGTATTACAAGTTAAAAGATTAAATTGGAGGAAAGTCATACTCACTTGAGTAGTAGAGCCTGGTTCTGGATAATTAAATGAAAAGTTAAAGATAGATATGAAGTAAGATATGAAAGTGGAAGAATGAATTCAGAGTTTTGCTAGAAATTATATAAAGTGAAGAATAAGAAGTATTTTAAATGGATTAAGTGACATAGATACTGCTTTGAATTCTAGATAGAAAAAGTTAGCGATGGCTAACAAGATTATGTAGTGAAATGTGTTGGAGATATAATATTATAAGATATTGTCAGGATATGATAACCAAATATGAAATGGATCTGGATATAGTTGTATATTTGGATCATAGTAATGTGGTATAATAAAGGAAATAAGGAATTGTATATTTGAGTAAAGCTGAGGATTGATAAGAAGAGTTTGAGAATGTGTATATCGATGATCAGTTTATAAGACAAAGGAAGTCATAATGTTGAGTTTGAACACCGAAATTTACAGGATGTATAAGAATAGAGGTTAAATTGATATGTTAAGTAAACTAAATTTGAGATAATTTGGATTGGAAATGATGTATATAATTGGTTGACTAGGGCTTGTGCCCTAGATTGAAATGATGTTATTAACTAGCTATCAGAGTAAAGGTGATAGAGTTATAAGATTGGAGGAAAAGATAAAATTGAGTTAATCGATTATGATGTGAATCTGCATATAGTTGTGTATTCTGATCAGATAGATATGATGTAGAAAAGGAGATAAGTATTTACATGAAACCTTAAGAAAAAATACAAGTATAAGAAATAAAAGGGATGAGTTAAAGGATCAGATATGATAAAGGCTATATGGAAGTGTAGATGATAATTTTGATATAGAAGTAAGAAAAGTGTGCAAGGTGATGTGAAAAGATTCTTTAAAGTGTATGTTGAATCATATTTAAAGAAGATTTAAGGTCGTGTTCTTGGTTAAATGATGATGAAAAAAAGAGTTTGATTATGGTTATAAGGTAATGAGAGATGGATGTTACTGTCTACGTGATTAGTGACATTATATGAAATTTCATAAATAGTCGAAGGAAAATGCATAATGGAAGGAGAGAAAAGACAGAAAGAAAATTCCTACCCTCAATTTTATTGCTTCTAACTTCTTAATTAGACCCTTGACAAGTAAAATCCATCATATAACTTCAGAAACCTTTCTATAACAAAAGTTCATTTCTACACCCTTCATATAATTTCCTTTTTAATTCTTTATTCTTGATGTTTAAAGCTTATATAAGCTTTCCTTAAGCTTATATAATACTCAAATAATCAAAATCAACTTATAAATCCAAGAATTAAACAGCTGAAATTAAACTCACCTTTAATTGAGGCTTAAAGGGAGAAGAAGAAGCTGGAGAAGAAGACTCTGGACAGGTTTCCTCATTTCCCACGTTTTTATATTCCTTAAAAAGAGAGAATAAAAATCTTCTCTTAGAAAAGACCCTAATACCCTTATTACTTTCTAGCTATACTATTAAATCCATGAACTTTTAACTTATTTCGAAATCAAACACATAGTTTTCAAAATATGGAATTTAGTCACTGACCCTGAATTTCGGGATATTATAAATCTCCCTCCTTTATAGAAAATTCATCCTCGAATTTTTATTGAACATATCAATAAGATTGAGGAAAAGAAAAAGACAATTAAAGAAATAAAGGAAGGAAATATTAAGTAAAGGAGGTAGCATGAGAACATTAGAAGATATGTTCTTATTGATATGTTCAATAAAAATTCGAGGATGAATTTTCTGTAAAGGAGGGGAGATTTATAATATCCCGAAATTCAGGGTCAGCGACTAAATTTCATATTTTGAAAACTATGTGTTTGATTTCGAAATAAGTTAAAGTTCATGGATTTAATAGTATAGCTAGAAAGTAATAAGGGTATTAGGGTCTTTTCTAAGAGAAGATTTTTATTCTCTCTTTTTAAGGAATATAAAAACGTGGGAAATGAGGAAACCTATCCATAGTCTTATTCTCCAGCTTCTTCTTCTCCCTTTAAGCCTCAATTAAAGGTGAGTTTAATTTCAGCTGTTTAATTCTTGGATTTATAAGTTGATTTTGATTATTTGAGTATTATATAAGCTTAAGGAAAGCTTATATAAGCTTTAAACATCAAGAATAAAGAATTAAAAAGGAAATTATATGAAGGGTGTAGAAATGAACTTTTGTTATAGAAAGGTTTCTGAAGTTATATGATGGATTTTACTTGTCAAGGGTCTAATTAAGAAGTTAGAAGCAATAAAATTGAATTTGGAACATGTTGAAAATTTAGTGTAATTCTTGAATTACATATGGAGAATAGGATTTTGATGTTAAAGAGGTGATTAATGAATAGAAATGAGTTTGAATATGAGTATGTAAGTAAAGAATAATAAAGGGGATGACATATGAAGTTATTAAGCTAAAAAGAGTGGATTTTCGGGCATAAAAATGAATTTTGGGCTATGTGCATCGATGCACAATCAATGTGTACCGATGCATCAAGGGTAAATTTCTAGGAATTGTTCAGTGTGTATCAATGCAAGGAAGTGCATCGATGCACCCATTAAAAATGGAAACATCGAATGCAATTAATGCATCGATGCATAAGGAGTGCATCGATGCACATGTTTAGGGATGCATCGATGCACTTCAAGGGGAAATTGAAATAACAAATCTTTTGGTCTAAGAAATGATAGATTAGGGTATATCAATTAGATACTGATATGTATCAATGTATGATTGTGTAGATATCGAACATGAACAAGTTCTGGAATGATTATCAAGTTAAGATTCAATGAAAAGAGAGGAAATTATAAAAGTGGATTGGAACTTAGTGAGGCCAAGGTGAGTGCATATTATTATATGGAAATTAGACTTGTGATAAGTCTGTTTCCAATACTTTATATTTGCATGAATAAAAGTATGATTAAGTTTGTATTATGTGTATATGCTTTGTTCATATTATATGTCATGAGGTGTGAATTTATATGATATGGGTTATAGGGAACGAAATATGTAACTATATGTGAACCTTATGAGCTGTATGAATATGTGAAATAAGTTATAAGGTCACGAATCATGTATAATAGTAAATGTTGTATGGGATAACCATAGAAAGAAAATAAGTTAAGTGATCATGAACACGTAAATATATGTTTAGATGAAGATATAATAGCAAAACATTAATTACATGAGTCAAGTTTATGGAAACTATTATAATTTAATTATAGTATTAAATGAAAAGTGAGATAAACTAACTAGCATTGATTTATAGGACAATATGAAAATAGAATAACAATTAGGAGATCTGTACATAAATAATTATAATCATATGAGAGATAAGCGGTATGAGAAAGATTAAGGTGCTTAGATAAGATATGACATAGAAATTACATGGTAAAGATCTATGAAGTCATAGGAAAAGGTTATAAGAGTAATGTAACTTTAATTAAGAGAATATAAGAAATTTATATATAAATGAATTTATATAAGTGATATATGTTAGTATGCTACAATATATGTTATAGAATATATGTAAGCATAAGAGAACAAAATATGAGCTAGGTGTTATGAATATAAATGATGATATGATTATGTACAATAAGTTAGGGAATTATGATCTAGGCGTTTATATGTCTAGAAAAAGATATAAGAACAATATATAAACTACAAATATGAACTTTGGGATTATAGTGCTATGTAACATTATCTATGTGATTAAGGACAAATATGATATTCATATATGACAATGATTTGTGAAATTGTATGAAAATGAGATATGATCTACAAGATAATAAATCATGTGAATTATATGGAAGTGATTTGTGTGAACATGTCTGATATGTCTTACATGATATGTGTGATTTCACAAGAAATGACATGAGCTATGTGATTATATGATTATGAGAGATCAACATGCAATAAGAGACAAGTGTTATAAATGTATGAATATGAGATGACATAAATAATAATGATAATGTTTTGTGTCATGAGAGCTAGGGGTATAGTTGACATGCCAATAGTCGAGGTCTACACGGTCCTTCGGGACATATATGTATTCCTTGGAACATGTGTGATGTCTTTTGAGACACATACTTGATCCTTTGTATATGTATATGATTCTTAAAGAATTTTCTACGTGGTCCTTAGGGACATTTTATATGGAACTTCGGTGCAATTCTACGTAGCACTTCGGTGCAATTCTATGTGGCACTTTGGTGCAATTCTACGTGGCACTTCGGTGTATTTATATGAGCTATGGTGACAGTATTTGTGCACAACCTCTATAACTCACATATCTATAGTTCTCACATTTGTACATGTACTAATAAAGAAATAACAACAAACATCTTACATGTGACTTGTATGCTTTTGTGCTATGAATTGTATTATATGATTTATATGATGATATGTGGATTGTATGAGTAAGTGAGTTAAATGTTGATTAAAATGCTAGGTATAAGAGGATATGTATTAAGTGATATAAACGATAATAATATTGATAATGAAATAAGGCTAATGATGGAAATGATGATTGATGAGTATATGTGTATGTATATGTTCTTACCTGTAATGATATATAGCATATGTGTTATAGGGATTTATTACATGAATCAGGGTATGATTGATAGCAGTAATTATTCATGCATGATTACAAACTATAGTTTACATTATATGTTTATTTCCTCACTAAGTCATAGACTTAGCGTGTGATTGTTTCACACGTAGGTTACAGAAGCGAAGAAGCAAACATGTCAGCATCTCCCTTTCAAAATTTCAAATTAGAAAATAGATGA